AAACGATTTAGTGTTGATCTTCACCCGGACTGTAACGCTCGGCCGCTTCAAAAATCAATAATTATCCTTACATACTAACACGAGGCTTTTCAGTGTGCTTTTTCCTCAGTCGCACACTTCTCTGAAAAAATTCCAGGAGGTCACTCATCCAAGAATTACTGTTAGTCAAACACGCTTAACTTTGGAGTTCTTCCGTTATGGGCTACTAAAAAGTAGATGCATCTTGTTAGTATAGGTAGCACAATTTAGTTCTTATAAGCTATCCCTGACTGTGCAGTCTCATACCTGCACAGTCTTTGGAATCCCTCTCTTTTAGGTGTCGATTAGATTCATTCATGTACCCCGCCGCTGGAAGCTTGCCAAGAGTTACTCCTTGTCTATGCCCTTGCGCACCGACGATCACTCCCCGCCCTCGTCAGCGCTCGGGATGTTACACGAACATTCATCATGATCTTCATATTTGTCTTCTTTGCCTTCTTCGCTACTTTCTCCTTCTTTTTCCTCATTTTTTTCTTTAGGATGCTTATTAAGTTCTAATTCAAAAATCCTTGCATCTCCATCACTAGCATTGTTCTCCATTACAAAGTACTATATTCCTAATTCATTTGTCTAGGTAGGAGAAGACTCCAATTTATGTTTCTTTCCAAGAGAAGATTTTACATCATTTTTCTCTAAATTTAAATTATTAATTTACCTCTCGCTCTACTGGACAGGCTCCACTGCAGTTTTATATGCAGCTACGTACATTAGAAGAGTATGTCTCCTCCTTTATCCTTTGTTTGAAGGTATAAATTGCATTATTAATTTTATATTTACAATTTCCTGTTTAAGAAAGTATATTAACTACTTAGTTTCCTTATTTTCATACTTTAGAGTTTGAGTCTAATATCTCATTTGAGATAAAATTGTCCTTTAACAGCCTATAATAATATTTATAAATATCTATTCAATTCATGTGCCTTTAGAGAACTAATAGCTAGAGCATTTTATCTTTCATCTTCTATTTCTATAACTCTCTATAACCTATAGATAAATTAGATGAGATTTTACTATATATATATATGATTAATGTTTCTCATGTTATAGGAGAAAATTTTATCTCTTACACACACATAAAAATATGCGGGACCCAATTTTTTTCTCTATCTTTTCTCTTCACATGACCCCACATGGGTCCCACACACTTTTATGTATGTAGGAGATAAAATTATCTCCTACAACATGAGAAACAGTAATCTCTATATTATATATATATACATATATATATAAAATCATTTCTACAGCCGCTTTACGTACAACAACGACATGTGTATGGTTATGATTCCTCACATTTAATGCTTTCATCCTTTGTATGGTTATGATTCTCTGCATTTAATGGTTTCAAGTATATATATGGCAAATATTTGATTGTTGCACGTACATTAGCTACAGAAATGTAAAGCCCATATATATATATGTGTGTACATGTGTGTTTCGTTTGATACCGGTGTCAAAAGATTCTGCCCCTATCTATATATATAGGACATAGATATCTCCTGATACATGAAAAGAATTGTTTCTCTTATAAATACAATACCAAGGTGCGGTCTACTGAAAAGAAAAAAGAGAAAAAATAAAATTAAGACCCACACCTTTGTATTGTATCCGCAAGAAAAAAGTTCTTTTCTTATAACATGAGAAAATATATATATATATTAAGGATGAGGAATGATCCGTTTGCTTTTTATAAATTACATTAAATATGATTAATCATACACTCTTAATTTAAATATGACCGATCATACTTACTTAATATAGTTTGTAAATAAAAAGTTTGTAAATATAACTCTCTGATTAAGAATTACACTACTTGAAAATATTAGATGATTGTAAATTCTATATCATTGCTACATTTCATCGCGTTTAAATCAGTCTCATCCTTAAGGCTGAGTTGTGCCTTGATTGGACAACACAAAGTCACAAACACAGCGCTGTTTACCTATACAATAAATTTATTCAGTCACTTTTTCAAGCGGATTGTTTGATGTTCTTGTGTGATGCCGAGTGGATGCACAACCTTTATGGCATTAACTCCATTTTCAAACTTCGATGATATGATTACTGCTTGGATAAAAAAAAATAAAAAAATGAGATAATGAGAATGTAATTTATTTAGGAAAAAGTGTGTGTTATTTTAAAGGATTTAAAGTTATATTATTTTAAGAGAGAGAAAGAGATAGATAAAGGAGGAAAGAGAGCTGACAAAAAAGTAAAAGTGTGGGTCACACCTCTTTGTGAGAGTAAAATGACATAAGTTATGTCATTTAAAAAGGATAAACATTTTTTCTTTATTATTATTTTTATTTTTATTTTAACGTTTTATTTATTCATTTTGGGTTCTAATTAAACGTTGTTTAAGGGAAAAGTTTCATAAGAAATATAAATTGGAAATTACTTTAGAGACAAGTGAAAAAGAAATAGAGTTTCTAGTAGGTTAGTTGACGTCAGAGAATTGAGCAAGTGGCGATGAGAAAATGTATTCGATCTATCCTGATACTTTTATTGGGAGGAATTTAAAGTCTTAATCTCGGAACCTGCCCCAAATCGGACTAGTCGCGAACGATGAACCAATTGGAATATTTCAAAAAAACAAAAATCTCTTGCAATGGAGGATAATGTTCATGGTGAATTTTAATTTGACCTTAATGAGATTACTTTTGAAATAAATGAAGAAGAAAAAGAAAAATATAGAGATCCGGAAGAAGATGAAGATGACAAATATGAAGTTAGAGATGAATGTGCATATTGTTTTGATCTCGGAACAATGATCAAAATGTCACTGTTCACTGACTTTTTTACCTAAATGTCACGCAAACAGTGTTGTTTTCCAATATGTCACGCGGGCAAGTTGGCTACAGTGCCCAGCGAACTTGGTTTGCTGATGTGGCACGTTTCTGGTGGACAACAAGTTCGCTACTCCCAATAACGAACTATGTTGCAATAAATGCTGACACATTGGAGAAGTTCGCTGCCACATGCAGCGAACTATGTATGCAACGTGTCTGACATGCACCAAGTTCGCTGAAGGTTCAAGCGAACTAGGTGCCACGTGGCACACTCAGAATTACAGTATCAATCACAATAAAACACATAAAATGAAGAAAAATGGCATTTTAATTAATGTGTCAATCAAAATTAATGTGCCAATTAGCAATCACAATTAATGTGTCAATCACAACTAGCGTACAAATAGAATTAACTTTTGATTGTACCAATCACAATTAATGTACCAATCACCAATGACTTCGGAGGGTAATAATTTTTGATTCGGAAATCCAAATCAAATTTTTTTATTTTATTTCATATAACTTTTCGAGATCTACCCAATGATACCTCATTTGATATATTTTATCTCTCACAAATATCGTTTGAATTTGTAACAATGATATCACAAACAATTAATGTACCGATCAAAATTAATTGTGATTGATACATTAGTTGTGATTGGTTTAATTGTGATCAAAATTAATTGTGAATGGTGATTGATATATTAATTGTGATTGGTGATTGGTACATTAATTGTGATCAAAATTAATTGTGAATGGTGATTGATATATTAATTGTGATTGGTGATTGGTACATTAATTGTGATTAATACATTAATAACAATTAATTGTCATTTTCCTTCTTTTTCTGTTTTTTATTGTGATTGGAACATTAATTCTGATCGGGCAATGAGATTGTGCCACCTAGCACACCAAGTTCGCTACCCCTGCTAGCGAACTTCGTCCAGTCAGCTTTTTCTGCAAAAGTGTGTTACGAAATCATTGGTTACTAAGTTCGCTACCAGTCGTAGCGAACTTGGACACGTGGCAGTCAACTTTTCCTGCCAAAATGTGTCACATGTAACGAAATCATTGGCTACCAAGTTTGCTGGGCACTGTAGCGAACTTGCCCGCATGGCATATCGAAAAATTACATTGTTGACGTGGCATTTAGGTAAATAAGTTATGGAACAGTGGCACTTTGATGACTGTTCCTTTGATCTCCACCTGCACATTCATCATGACCTTCTTTGCTATCTCCATGTTCTTTTTCATCATCTTTTTATGTAGGATCACATTAAGGTCAAATTAAAAAATCATTGCATCTCCATATCATTAGTATTATTCTCTGTAGCTAAAAACTCTATTCCTAATTCATTTGTCTCCGTAGGAAAAAGGCTCCAATTTATGTTTCTTTCCAAGAGAAGATTCAACATCATTTTTCTCTAAATTTAAATTATTGATCTACTTCTCACTCTACTAGCAAGTTCTACTGCAGTTTTATTAGCAGCTATATTAGAAAAGTATGTCTCTCTCTTTATCCTTTGTTTTAAGTTATAAATTGCATTATTTATTTTATATTTACAATATCGTCAATAAACAAAGTATATCAACTACTTAATTAGTTTCCTTATTTTCATACTCTAGAGTATGAGTATAATATCTCATTTGAGTCGAGATTGTCCCCTTAGCAACCCTTAATGACATCTATAGATATCTAATCAAATCATGTGTCCTTAAGAAACAAATAGCTTGAGCCTTTTTTCTTCCATCTTCTATTTCTGCAAAGCTCTATATATAGTCTATAGGCAATCTAGGTTTATGACTAATTTTTAAGAACTGAAATGGATCTACACTGTGTTGAATCTTGATATCAAAATATAATCTAGGCAATTGGTACAAGCACAATATATAAATATAAAATAATGTGAAGTTTTCAAAAATTATAGCTATAAATTCATACTAATACATCCTAAATAGTTAATCAATATCTAAGTTTTTCTTTTACATAAGATAGTTATTTTATGTTGTAGAGAGAAAATGAATGAGTCTCACCATTGCATAAAAAAAAAATATGATGTGCGAAAATCAAAGTGAGATAATATGAGAGAAATTATCTCATGTGAAAAGGAGAGTAATATTTCCCTACAAAATATGCATGTTTTCCAACTAAGACTTTCTGGGTAGCTGGCATCATCAATTTTTTGATGATCTTCCCATGCTTTTCCATTTGAGTGCCAACTGAGATAGGGTCTTTGTCGATGACCCATCTTCCATTATGGCACAAGCAGCTAAGTTTTGTTGTTCTTTCATTCTTCTACGAATTTCTTCACCCTCTAAACCCTCCATGAGATTCTTTATGAGACAAGCAATTTCCTCCTTCACCACTACACCATTGCTATTAATTTTGGGCCTCACGGAAACTTTCAAGCCTTCAGTAACCATAACAGCATTGGTTCTTTGTTCAGCAAATAGTGGCCAGGCTATCATTGGCACTCCGTGCAAAATACTCTCTAGAATTGAATTCCAACCACAATGAGTTAAGAATGCACCAACTGAATTGTGAGCAAGGATCTCAATTTGTGGTGCCCAACCAGACATAACCAAACCCTTACCTTTTGTTCTATGTAAGAATCCTGAAGGTAAGAAATGTAAAGGGTCCACCCAATCATCACTTAGGTAAGTAGCACTTGCACTATCATTTGGTGCTCTCAAATTAACCCATAAAAATTTATGGTTACTCAATTCCAATCCCATAGCAAGCTCATTAATTTGCTCTTGTGAAAGTGTGCCTCCACTTCCAAAGGAAATATAGAGAACTGAGTTAGGTGGCTGGTTATCCAACCATATTAAACATTCCCAACTACTTTTCTTAATACTGGACCCTTTTTGTGTAATGGGTCCAATTGGATACACAAGAGTGCTACCACTAGCTTCTTGGGATGCTCTTAATGCTCCTTCTTCCATTTCTATGAAGCTATTGATTAAGATTCCATCAGCTAGAAGAAATTTTTGGCATCGGTTAAGAAACAACTTGTATGTTAAACTTGACCGATCCTGAAAACTGTTTGGAAGATCTATGCCATGAATAGATATGCAACCTGGAATCTCTATTGGTTTGGGATGAGCTTTGTACTCACAACAAACTGTTTCGTCAAGTTTTGAAGAATATAGGCAGAGTGATAGCAACATGGTTGAACAAGGAAAGTATATGTAGGATAAGATGTTCAATTCCTTACCAAATTCTAGTGCTTCATGTGCGAAAGCATCAACAATCAAAGCAACAATACTGGATGAGGAGCTAGTGCTATGTAGTGACCTCAAAGCTTCACGTATAGATGGCATAGAGCGAGAAACTGCAAGTTGAAGTTGAGATTCAAGTGAAACACTATTCCTTAGATCATCAAAGTTTACCGGGGGAAGGAAAATGCAATCTATGCTTTGAGGGAGGGTATCAAAGAAGGGTTTGGAGGAAATGGTAGATGAACTAAGTGTGGGAAGGAAGCATGTGACATGAAAGTGGTGAAGATGAACGAGTCGCTTTGCAAACTCAAGAATTGAAACTTGGTGGCTAAAGGCAGGGATGGAGACAAGGGCTATGTGAGTTCTTGCTTCCATGGGAACTTAGGAAGTAGCAACCTCAAACAACAATGGCAATGGATGGAACAGAAATATTGGAAAACTCAAATGTAGGAGTTTCCAAATGGACTATTTTTTTTATCAAAAAATAAAAAGTACTACTTTTTTGGTGAAAAGAAGGTACTATTTTTGCCTTCTCGAAATCTGACACAACATTTATTATTATTAAATTGAATTGGAGTACTAGAATTGAGTGCATTTTTTTTTTATTTGGAATAACAAGCTCTCATAAAAAAAAATTCTTAATTGGACAAGTGGCTACAGCTCGAAAATCAACGTAACCATGATAGAGAAAGTAGTTTTTTTTTTTTTCTTTGTTATCGATTTGTTTGAAGTCATAAACTAATATTTTTAATAATAACAGGTTATTAATACAAGAGAAATCTTTTTGTTATATTGACGTAGATAAATTATCTTATGTTAATGAAATATAATAAGAGAGACCTATAAATAATTGGAGAAAAAAAATAAAAATGAGACCCACACCTTTGTTATGTGTGTATAGAAAAATGAATTATCTCATTATAAATGAGATAAATATAACCCTTAATACAAACATTTAACCTGTTTCTAAAAATTATTTATCATAACTATCATTTCCTATTATTTATAATAATATTTATAATTTTAAAATTTTATTTTTCTCCCTATTATAAAAAATCTAGAGTTGGTTACTTATTGGGACATGAATATTTAAGTTTAACTAGTGGTATTGAGTTTGCGTCCCAATAATACAATTATGTTAAAACTTAATACAGAGAACTTTGTCACTAATATGTTCTTATCGAGAGTGAATTTTCTCATGTGAAAAAGTGGTTATGTGTTTATGTTATTTGATCACAATCATTTATTTAAAATTTATATATTTTTCTCTTTCTTATCTCATCACCAATGAGTACCAGTCATGATCAAATAACATCACGACCACATGACCACTTTTTCACATGAGATGATCCAGTTCTGTTGTTTTTCGGTTCAAATGACAGTAGTCGAGTACTTAATAAATCATTAGATAATATCCCTAAATAATAATAATAATAAAATAAATACAAAATAAGTATTTAATGTATTAAATACTTTAAAAAAATATTTTTTCTCTTTAATATATTTCAATCTTAAATTTATAAATTGTACTTTAAGAATATTTCTCAATTTATTTTAATAAATCCGATACTGTATATTTTTAATGTGTATGTTTAAGAATATGATAACATTTATTATTATTTTAATTATTCAATGAAAAACTTTGAATAATTATTTATTTTAATCTTTAAATATTTATTTTTTCATTTAATAATTATTCCTCGTATCACTCGCAACACACATACTACACTTTTCTTTCCTTTCTTTTATTTTCATGCCCGTGTTTCATTTTTTTTATTAAGATAAATTTTGGTGGATTTCTTACACCTTCAGATCTAACACCTACTTGTATATATGGCTGGCAAGAAAGGTTGAACCCGCAGGGCTGGCCCGTCCCGCCTGTCAAATGGGGTGGGGTGGGCTGAGTTTTTCACCCCACCAGCCCGCCTAACCCACCCCGCCAAGCTCGCCAGCCCACCAAGATCAGCCCGCCAAGCCCCCCCTTTTTTTTAGGTTATCCAATTGTTATGTAGCTCTAGGGTTGGCTTGTAACCCGCCAAAAATAAGCCGGGTTGGGTTGACCAAAATGAGCTGCCAACCCGAGCTAACCCGGCTCGTTTCAACCCGTGAAAAAACGAGCCAACCCGCGGGTAAAACAAGCCAGCTCGCGGGTTGAGTTTTTTTTATAAAAAAATACAATATATACAAAAATGGACAAAACTCACACATGTTGTCATCATTTTTTTTCTTCCTTCTATAAACCTAAGTCCCTAATCTTCTCACATCCCTGCCATTTTTATATTGTTAGGATGTGCTGGTTCTGTTTGGATCAAATATCTTACTCACTTGATAGCAAGTGGTTCTGATTGTTTCTTGATATTGATGCAAATTTGTTGTGAAGAAAATTCAAAACTAAAATATTTTGCTTTTATTTCTCATTTTGTAACCTTTTGTTTAAGCTAATGGAAGCCACATAGCTGGTGCATTAATACTACATGGTCATTTAAATAGGCTAAAAACGAGCCAACCCACGAGCAATTTTGAGACAACCCGCGAGCCAATTTTTGAGCCAACTCGCGAGCTATTTTTTCAACCCAACCCACGAGCCATATTTTTTAGCCAACCTTTACCCGACTCGGGTCGGGTTGGGTTGAGTTTTCTGACTCGTTCTTTTTTTCGAGCCAACCCTAACCCGGCTCGTTTTTTTGGGGTTGAATGCGGGTTGGGTCAGGTCGAGCTGGGTTGACCCGTTTTGCCAACCCTATATAGCTCCATGCCTTAGATATCTCTGCATGCAAGTGGCTTTTTCGAATTGTTGTGGACTCCTCCTACAAAACTTTTTTTTGGTATCCTAAAAAATAAAAATAATAATAATTCTAAAAATAAAATTGTTTTGAAACATGAACTTGTTTCAAACCAATTTAGCAAAAAAAAATTGATTCAAAATAAATAAAATAATTCTATTCTTTGAAACAAACTGATTTAAACCAATTCAATTCAGTTAAAAAATATGATTCAAATCAAATATTTTCCACCCCTATTTGTGTTACAACGGTGACTTAGTGCTTCTAGTAAAGATGAATTTACTTGTTCGATCTTTTTAGACAGTTTTAAAACATTATTGGACTAAAAATCAGCGATGTTATTAAAGCCACCTGTGCGCATACAAACATTTTTTGGCTGCATGCCTATCATCTGTGCACAATGATTTGTTAGTATCTACAACTATCTCCTCCATCGACATTATTAATATTCAGATCCTACGTCAACTTTTGATTCTCAAGCATACAAATATGATATGATGTTAGGTTTAAAATTTCTCAAATAGGAACTTAAATTGCTATGTCTTGTGCTAACCACAATAGTATATATATCAAATATGATTCTTTTATGACTCTGTTTTACCCAGATATGATTTTATTTTATTTTTATTATATTTGGATTGAAAGATGTATATTTATATGCAGATTATTAAACACTGGTCTTCTTGGTTTCATATGCACATTAGGATTTTATGCAGATTTTTTTTATGCTTTTATGCAAAAAAATTTATGTGCTTTTATGTAGAATTTAATTTTTTGTATTTTTTTTTTATGTTTTTTTTGTATTTTAGGCGGGTTGGCCCGTAGCCCGTCAGCCCACTCGTAAAACGGGCTGGGTTGCTCAATTCAACCCATTTTGTCAAAACGGGCCGAGGCGGGCCAGCCTATTTTGAGTGGGCCAGTGGCAGGCCGGGGCGGGCTGGCCCATATTGCCAACCCTACTTGTATACCTCCTTTGCACAAACATAGAAGGTACCTTTGTGCTTTTCCTCTATTATACTCTTGAGCTCGATCGGGATCACCTACAATACACTTACTCGTCAGAACCTTCCCATTTGCTTCGTAATTTGTTGGGTTGCATCTATATTCTATATGTGATTCTCAATCGGTCAATACAACAAACTATCTTTCTTTTTTGTTGAACATCCACTCCCTCCACCTATTTTAGTTCAAATTATACATATTCTGGTACTAATTTTAGGAATCGATTACCATGAACAAGGTAATCGATTACATGCACAGGGTAATCGATTACCACGCGGATAGAACATGAAAACTGTAGATTTTTCTGCATAATCTGTGAGTTCCATGGCTTCCAAGGGTGTCAAACAGAAGTTCAAACCACATGCTTAAACATTACTATATCATATTTTACATGGTTCATTAAGATTTTCACTTTTTACTTCACAAACTAACTCATTTTCAAGAAACTACAAGGGGACTGGTTTGTAGTTACCTATAGACCTTTGAAAATAGAAAAATGGGTAAGCTTTGAGGACTTTGAAGGTGCTCCAAGCTACTGACTTGGTGGTGCACGAGAATCCCACTCCAAGGTAGGTTCTTTCTTCACAAAGTTTGGATCCTGGAGCTTCCTAGAGTGTATTAATGGTTCACACTCTAAGAACACAAATGGTCAACCCTCCCACTTATGAAAATAGTAACACAAACTCTCAAGACATGATTTTTTCCTCACAAGACTCAAGTTTTACAAGGAGTGGTGATGGTTCAATGGCATAAGATTGGAGAAATGTGGTGAAAGCACTACAAAAAAAAATGTCATTTAGCCACGGCTAAAATCGTGGCTAACATACACGAAAACTGTGGCTAATGAATGTTACCACGACTTCTTCAAACGTAGTTAACTGCGGCGTTGTATTATTTTACCCACGTCTTTTTGTTTACTTAGCTACTGCTTTAGTTCCATGGTAACAATAATTTAGCCTCAGTTATGGTTTTATTTAACCACTGTTTAACCGTGGCTAATTTAATGGTATTTTTAAAAAAAAAATTGATAGCCACAGAATGTTGTATTCACACCTCCACAGTATTAAATAGTTCATATAATACTTTACAAAAAAGAAAAAGATTATATAATCAAGAAATAAGAAAAATAATAAGTCAAAAGCACTGAGAATACAATATGTTATAGACACCTCATTAAGCCCCCTCCCAACACAAAAAAAAGTACATCATATTTAGAAGCCACATAATGAACTTGAGCTACAAATTATAATATTGAGAAAATAACATTCCAAAACGAATAGAACCTATATTTACATGCTTCAAGGGCCACTTCATCGTTCGTGTCTTTGTTGACTTGTAACAAGTATTCAATCACATTCCTTAGATATGGTTGCACTGCAATTAGCAATTGCATCAAACAAGAGGGAGCTAATATAATAAAAAAGGTTAATTTTAAAGAAAGAAAATAGGAAAGACCCTCTCTTTATTGTTGTTTGTTCTCTTTTCGAGCCCCTACACAAATGAGGAAAGTGAATGTTTGGGAAAGATTTTTGGTGGAAGACAAGACTGGATATTTATCATCATAATTTAGAAAATCTTTGGTATGCATCA